TTCGTTGAAGAGAGGGCTTGAGTCTGTAGCATCTCTCTCATCCTCCATCTCTCTGTAAATCCTCAATCCGAAAGCCCCGACCATCAAAACACTAACTCTCTCGCGTTGGCTACTATGTGGTACCTAAGATTGATTGCGTCACACCAAACAATATGCTATCGAGGTCGCACGACCACCCAGGTAAGGGCCGTGGAGGATGCGTGATGCCAGAGGAGGCAATGCTGAGGTCGCGTGACTATGGGGCCACGTAGATCTAGCTCTTTGTTGGTCGAAGCGAGCCAAGCGAGGGCCGTGAATGATGCACGACGCCAGGCGAGGCAATGCCGAGGTTGTGCGACTGCCAGGCGACTCAGATCTGGTCCTTCGACGATCGAAGGCGAGGGCTGCGGATGATGCGCGATGCCAGGCAAGGCAACGCTAAGGTTGTGCAACTGCCGGATGACTCAGATATGGCCCTTTGACGGTCGAAGAGACCCAAGCGAGGGTCACGGAGGATGCGCGACGCCAGGCGAGGCAAGGCCGAGGTTGCGCGACCACCGATCGACTCAGATTTGGCCCTTCAACGTTCAAAGTGACCCAGGCAAGGGCCGTGGAGGATGTGTGACTTCGACGTCGACCCTCGACCTATGGGATCTCAACCTTGGTGACCGTTGACCTTGACCTTGGCGACCGATGACCGGCGACTTGACCTCGACTACTCAACCACTGTGCAGAGAGATGATGGCTTGAAGAAGATGAAAGACATTGGTTGAAGACGATGAATAGTAACTTTTGAGGGCAAAAGTGGAACGCACAATTATCAGTGAGGGCAATAATGAAAAGAAAAAAAGTCATTCAACCCCCCACTATAGCATTCCGAGAATGCTGAAAGCCCAAAGCACCTCTCTACCTACTTTGGGCTTTCAGCATTCCCAATGCTAGCATTTAGCCAATGGAGTCTAAAAAATGGTTTTCAAACACCTTATATTTTTCCCAAGGGGCTCTAGGGGCTCAAAGCCCCTTGGGAAAGTTAAACCAAATGGGGCCAGAGTGTTTTGAGCGGGATTTTAATTTTCAGATTAGTCCTTTTCTGTCGGACGGAGAGAAACGAAAGCCTTTTTCATTTTTCAGCAAGTCCAACTCAGACGCCACGTGTTGCCCATTGAGTGGAGCCAATTAAGCTCACGCGCGTCACGTAGGCGGATGACATAGTGGTCACTAACCACTGAATATTTTCTTGGTCACATTTTCAAGGATAACCTATACCTGTTTGTACTTTTCTATTTATTTAATGCGGATAAAAAACAAGTCAAATAAACCCTTCTCTTTATAGCCCATCAACAGTAGCGTCACTTTTACGGCCTTCATAGGAGTCAATTTCTTAGTTGATCAATTTTGGATATTTACATATTTGCCACCACTCCAAAGAAAAAATAAATTAAAAAAAACAACACTTATCTTGGTTGGACTCCACCAGCAGGACTTCAATAAATATTCGGTAAATAATTCCCATCCACATCATCCGATTTATATTGGGTTTCATACGCGGATTCAAACTCAAGATATAATTAAACCGTGCTTATAACAATAAAAAAAGCATGTTTATTTTTTAGTCGGAATATCAACTCGAGTCCAACAAGTGGTATTAAAGCAAGACAGTCGGGCATGTGAACCTAGCGATTGAGATCGTGGTATGCGATGACAGTGGTCGGGGACCATTGTACGTAAGCAAGCGATCAGGGATCGGAGTACGTCGAAATTCTACTGGTGAACATTCAGGGATTGTGATCGGTTGGTTTGTGACTGAGCTCACTTGGTGTAGTGCTGGGCATTATAGTTCACCATGAAAGAAAATACAAAAAAAGAAGAAGATGAATTAGCATTGCATCATAAATAATTTAATGGGAAGTCATTAGGTCACATGTAAAGTCTTAGGATTTAATTTTTTGTTTTCATAAAAATAACATTTCATATAGTTTGTATCATAGGATTAATCTATGGTTAATTCTTATGTAGCATTCATGTTATATTGTTAGCTTTAAGAATTAATTTCATAGCATTGCATATAGTTAATTCATTATAGCATGCATAACATTTAGGATTTTATGTTAGTTCATCAATGCATGTTAGATTAGTGCACATAATCATAGTATTAATTGAGTAATGTCCATGTTACTTTTAGGGAGTTCATTTCATAAACAAGAAAACCCAAAAATAATCAATTCACATTGCATCTTAATTATCTCACATAACTCAAGTCATGCATTATTTTTTTTTATGAGCTCCCTACATCTAACAGCTCATGTGAAGCGAGCTAACAAAACCCGAAACTACCTAATAATTTTTCCCCCCAAGGACGCCTCCAATCACCGCCAATCGACCCCAACATGCCTCAGCCTCTCCCCTTGTCAATCCCTCGGTCACTTGCATCCTCGCCTCTCCCGGGCCACCGTCACCCGGGATCCATCTTCAGCCCGCTCTGCAGCATCGACTCAATCTCCTTGAGTTCTTTTTTCCATCGCCAAAGAAGCGATAGCTGCATAATCCACTCCATTATTTGGTCTTGGGTCCCTTTACGTTTGCACAGTGGAGCAACTGGGACTTCACTATTTTCTTTTGGACCGATCGAAGATCTTCATCACCAGATCTAAGAACAACAAACGCAAATCTCTGCTAAGGCTCGGTTGCAAATGCTATGGAGTAGCAGATTTTTCAAGCTTTCACAACAGATTTTCAGACTCGGCCAGGACCAAACAGAATAGGTTTGGTTACGGTCTGGGCTAGTGCATCGGGCCTAGAGTGAGCAAGCTCTGTTCGGGCCAGGCTTCAATTTTAACAAAAGCTTAACCTGTGCATGTTCTTATTATAGATAATGTTGACTAATATCATCTAAACCATTAATTGTGTGAGTGCAACCATGGACTCTATGTAATCAGCGGCCTAAATAGGCTTGCTGTACAAGGTCTGCAGTCTGCAGATAATCTAAACCTTTCTGAGATGTTGAGGTTTTCATTGTTGTCCGTGTCGTTAAAAAAACTAAAAGATTTAGTACCACGAAAAAATCCAAACTGGTACATCTATAATAAATTTATCCAAAACTAATTTTTTGACCACCAAAATCTCTAAACTGGTACACTTGTGATAAAATTTACCTCAAACTAATTTTTTGAACACCAAAAACCCCAAATGAGTACATTTATGATAAATTTACCCATTGTTAAATTGAATTAATATCACGAAAAATCACAAATTGGTACACCCGCAACAAACGGAGGCTAAAACCCCAAACTGGTACATTCGTCAACTGTCACGCGTCATCCGACTCAGAAATTTGACAATAAAATTTAACAAAGGGTAAAATAGTCACAGGTATATCGGTTTAGGGTTTTTGATGGTCAAAAAATTAATTCGGGGTAAATTTATCGCAGGTGTACCAGCTCGGGATTTTTCATGGTATTAACCCAAACTAAAAATGAGGATTAGCATTGACAGAGGCTGCAATGGACGAGTATGCTGCCTCTTTAAATGATTCATATCTTTTGACATGAGAGCGCGCATATATATATGAAATCTCAATTGGTTAAATTGGATGTGTATAGCATTACACAAAACAAGATATTCGCCCAGAATCTCAATGAGAAAAAAAAGGGACAGAAATCTAATCCATAAGAAAAACAAGGATCTAAAGTTGACCCTCCTGGTCAACCCGTGATTAATATGAACGTGCCTGGAAAAGTCGAGGGGCAACATAATGATAAAAAGGGGCACAAGACCCTAAAGATGTGATAATATTCCAATTTGGCTAACGCGAACATAAAAACGATGGCCCTATATGAAAACGACACGCAATTCTAAATCAAACGATATAGACATCGACACGAATACAAATACACCCTATTGCTACCCTAAATAATGTAAAGCAGAGAATTAGGAATAATTGCCCTCGCCGGCCCTAAGTCCAGGAAAAAAAAAGTAAAGAAAATAAAATAAAAAATATTAAAATATTATTAAAAAATGTCTACGTCAGTTCTGGTCGTGCCACGTAAGACGACTGGCATCAACGTCAGCGATTTCTGATCAAAATTGGTCAGATGGACTCAATTGGCAAAACGCGAAAAGGTTTATGCTTCAATTGACATAATTGAAAAATTTATGACTGAATTGACACATTTACAATTTGGTAATTTTTGGTTCACAATTATGACATGGGGTCCCAAAGAAGTTCAATAATTTGTATGCAGTGACTCCTCAATCTGATGCTTCCAACAAGATGGAACTTCATTAATCATGTCATAGGATAATGACATGGAGGCAAGTGACGTCATCATAGTTTTAGTCTACAATGACCACGACATTGATTGACTTCGCCTCGATTGGCGCCGTTCATTCAAGAACAACTCCGGCACAATAAAATTACCCTTCATTAAAAATGAACTACTAAAGTCCCTATAATGTAGATTCTCTCATCCTACTAATAAGAAAAAAAGGAGAAATTTCTTCTACTGAATTTTCTATTATGTAGCGGGGTGACGGGGAGTGGCTTGGATGGCCGAGGAACCGGAGCAGCAAGCCCGGGGGCGCTTTCTTTTCTGATGAAAATGCCCTTGCTCACGGCGCGAATAATGGCACGTGACACGCACTTGGTCATCGTCTGGCGAAGATCGGTGTTGCCAGTGAGATTGGGGTTGGGGGCGGGGGGGTTTCAATTGAGATGAAATCACCAATTACAGAGCTTACTTTGAGGCCAACACCGATCTTGGAAGTGCTTTGAGAAAAATGCCTCCGGCTTGAGGAGGGTTTTCGAGATTTTAGACCAAAGAACTATTGGCCACAAACCAATGCCGCACGAATCCAATGCTGGTTTTCCTTTAATACGTAGTCCTACTGGTTGGATCTGTGCTTTGATATTGTCAGTATTTTATTGAATAGTTTGGGTTATCATAAGTGGTTATGTGGATGGGACTTTGCTGTTGCTAGTCTTATTTCCACATTCACCAATGAGCTTCTAGATGCTCAGGAAACTCTATAAAGTGGATCAATAATTTAACAGATGTCCAAGTCCAAAGGTGTCCCAATGATAGAGAGACCATCATTAGTTCCGATCAAATGGAGCGAAGGTTGTTAGAAGCAGCTCAAAAGGGCAGTATCGATGAGCTGAACGACTTGATCGGAAGCAACGGGCTCATCAACCTCGAGGAGATGGCTCTCAAAGGAGCCGGTCACACGCCGCTGCACGTCGCTTGTATGGCCCGCCATTCGGATTTTGTCCGAGCGCTCCTGAAGTTGATGCCGAAGTTCGTGGAGAAAGTGAATGCCGGTGATTTAAGCCCGCCGCACATCGCGGCAGCTCAAGGTGATGTTGAGGTCGCACGGGAACTCTTGAGAGCGGGTGAACACCTGTGCTTTGTGAAGGGACGGGAGAGAAGAATCCCTTTGCATTATGCCGTCGTAAACGGGGAGCTCCATGTCATGGAGTTACTGCTCTCCGCTTGGCCCGAATCCACCAAAGAGACAACCGCCCGAGACGAAATTGTGCTTCACCTCACCGTGAAGAACAACCAATTTGACGCGGTCATTGTTGTTAAAATATGTCTCGAGTTTGAGCCCATCGAACGAAACCCAACCCAAGATTTATTAAAGGAAAGTCCGAAATTGATTATATGTGGACGTTTGCTGTGGAAATATAGAATTCTCGTTTGGCGTTAGAATAGAAAAGCAGAAAGAAAGAAAATATTCTTTCCTATTTCCTGTTGAAGCCACAGACTAAAGTTTCCTACTTGGATTATGCGTATATATATATATATATATATATATAAGTCAAGGTCAAGAATGGAAAGTGTATTTTTCCAAAAGTTTCCTTTTCCGTGTTGGACTTCTGTTCCAAGAGGAAAAGGTTGATCGTGTATACCCACGAATAAATATGGGCTGTTCTTCCTTTCTTTCGTTGGAACAGAGGGTGTGTTATGGTTGCCACAAGAAGATTCTCTGAAGCGCCGCTAATGTGAGTGCTTGATGTTTAGTGGCTGTGGCAGTGCGGGTGTTCGTGCAATGAAGTCTTTCTTCGGCAAATTACATCCAAGAATTCAAGTGTTCAAGTCGTGAAAATCTTGTGTTAAGATTTGTGTGTGATTCCTTCGTGAGATTGAGAGACTATTTCATGAGAAATTGTGGGGCTAAACACTGCGTGCGTTATTGGGTGTAATTGGGGCTTGGGAAATACTAAGAGTGTTTGAGTAACTCGAGTGTGGTTGTAATCTTCGTTATATCGCTTGATCTATAGTGGAATTTCGTATTGCTCTCTCCGTGGATGTAGGTCACTACGACCGAACCACATAAATCTGGTATCCGATTTATTTTCTTGTTCTGTCAAATTTATTGTTCGATCGCTTGGCTTCCGCAACAATTAGTATCAGAGCTAGGCTTGGCTGAGTTGAAGCGAATCGATGGCGACAGAAGAAGGAAAAGTGAGAATCGACAGATTTGATGGGAAAGATTTTGGTTTCTGGAAGATGCAGATTGAGGATAATCTATATCAGATGAAACTGCACTTGCCCTTGTCTGGGGAGAAGCCAGAGACGATGAAGCAAGCTGATTGGGAATTGCTGGATAGACGCGGTTTGGGTGTTATTCGGCTGACGTTGGCACGTAATGTCGCGTTTAACATCGTGAATGAGAAGACCACTGCGGATTTGATAAAAGCCCTGTCTGACATGTACGAGAAGCCCTCTGCGATCAACAAAGTCTACTTGATGCGGCGTCTGTTTAATTTGAAGATGAGTGAAGGTACGTCAGTTGCTGATCATATTAATGAATTCAATGTGATCGTTAGTCAATTGAGTTCAGTTGAGATTGATTTCGAAGATAAGGTACGTGCTTTGATTCTATTATCCTCATTGCTTGATAGTTGGAATACTATTGTTACTGCTGTTAGTAATTCCTCTGGGTCGACAAGTTTGACGTTTGATGGTGTTCGAGATTTAATTCTGAGTGAGGACATCCGTGGAAGAGAATCTGGCGAACATGTATCTACTGCTTTAGTAGGTGAAAATAGAGGAAGAACTAGTACACATGTTAGCAGGAGTAGTATGAACTCGAATAGACGAAGTCAGTCTAGGACTCGTGGTGTTGTCTGTTGAAGTTGTGGCAAGAAGGGGCATCTTAGAAGAGATTGCTTTAAGTTGAAAAACGAGAAGGGTAAAGGAATTAGAGTTGATCCTGCGGATGATGTTACTGCTATAGCTTATGGTAATTCGGATAATGCTGATTTTGTCTTGTCTGTCATTGATAATTCGTCGTTTGGCGGATAGATTATGGATTCTGGTTGTTCTGTTCGCGCTACACTAAACAGGAATTGATTTACTACTTATCAGTGCACGGATAGTAGTAAAGTACAGTTGGGGAACAACACTGAATGCGATATTGTAGGTGTTGGTGATGTCAGAATCAGAATACATGATGGTATTGTGAGGACTTTGACTGGAGAGAGGCATGTTCCAGAGTTGAAGAAAAATCTGATTTCCTTGAGTGCCCTAAATTCAGCTTGGTGTCGGTATTATTCAGAATGTAGAGTTCTGAAAGTTGTTTGAGATGCCTTGGTGATAATGAAAGGAATCAAGCATAGTGGCCTGTATTAGCTTCAAGGTGAGACAGTGATGAAATTCGCTATGGAGACGTCGAATGCATCGGTTCGAGAGTCTGAATTGTGGCATATGCGTTTGGGGCACATTAGCGATAGAAGCCTAAAGGTTATAAGTGAAAGGAATTTGCTACGTGGTTATGTTGCTGACGAATTGAATGTATGCAGGTGCTGTGATTTAGATCAACAGTAGAAAGTGCAGTTCAATGCGATTGTCAAAGAAACCACGGATATTGCAGAATTAATTCACTTGGATGTTCGCAGGTTATCGCGATTTCCTTCAAGGAAGAGTGCCAGATTTATGCTTACAGTTATTGATGACTACTCGAGGAAACCTTAGGTATTTGTGCTTAGGCACAAGTGTGATACTATTGTCAAGATCAGGTAGTTGAGAGCTTTGATCGAAAAGGAGACTGGTAAAATGATCAAGTAGGTGCGAACTGACAATAGTATGGAGTTTTGCTCGAAAGTGTTAAACGAATTTTGCATAAAGGAAGGCATAGTGAAACACCGCACTAGTACCATTGAACCACAACAGGTTGCAGAATTGATGAGCAAAACATTACTAGAGATGGCCCATAAAATGCTCTCTAGTGCTGGTATGGCTAGGAGATTCCTGACGGATGAGCTTACTATAGCGAGCTACTTGAAGAATAGATCCCTATCGACTGTGATTGGATGTCGGACTCCCGAAGAAGTGTGGTCAGGTAACGTTGCTGATTATTCTATTCTTAGAATATTTGGTTGTCCATGTTATGTTCGAGTTAGTGATGGTAAGCTCGAAGGAAGGGCAAGAAAGTGCATGTTCCTAGGTTGTGAGCAGAGCTATAAGTTGTGGTGCCCGGAATTAAATTCATCTATTATTAGCAGAGAAGTTACATTTGACGAGTCTCCAGTACTTCTGGCTAAGAGTGTTAATAGTAGTGTTCATACGGAGCGTATCATAGAAACTCCTGAGGTAGTGAGTACTAGCGAAGTAATCGACACCGATGGTGCTTATAGCGAGGTGGAGCCTATTGAGCCAACTGTTGCTGTAACTGTAGATATTGACAAGGTGCGTATTCGATCTCTGAATAGATATGGATGCAATGATGATTTTGCTTTATCTACGATTGAGGAGATTGTATCGGAAAATCCTTGTGGAGCGGTTAAAGGTGCATGTGGAGTTGGTATTCTGATGAGGTCCATGGCTATGGCGAAATTCAAGCGAGGCTTAGACTTGAAAGACGTCTGTGGCGGTTAAGCCCATCGGGGGCTGTGGAAGAGTAGTAGCGAAATTCGGATTCTATCAAAGCAATTGTGACTTGGCTCAAACGTCGAGCCAAGGTGGAGATTGTTAAAATATGTTTCAAGTTTGAGCCCATTGAACGAAACCCGACCCAAGATTTATTAAAGGAAAGTCCGAAATTGATTATATGTGGACGTTTGCCGCGGAAATATAGAATTCTCGTTTGACGTTGGAATAGAAAAGCAGAAAGAAAGAAAATATTCTTTCCTATTTCCTGTTGAAGTCGCGGACTATAGTTTCCTACTTGGATTATGCGTATATATATAAGTCAAGGTCAAGAATGGAAAGTGTATTTTTCCAAAAGTTTCCTTTTCCGTGTTGGACTTCTGTTCCAAGAGGAAAAGGTTGACCGTGTATACCCACGAATAAATATGGGCTGTTCTTCCTTTCTTTCGTTGGAACAGAGGGTGTGTTATGGTTGCCACAAGAAGATTCTCTGAAGCGCCGCTAATGTGAGTGCTTGATGTTTAGTGGCTGTGGCAGTGCGGGTGTTAGTGTAGTGAAGTCTTTCTTCGGCAAATTACATTCAAGAATTCGAGTGTTCAAGTCGTGAAAATCTTGTGTTAAGATTTGTGTGTGATTCTTTCGTGAGATTGAGAGATTATTTCGTGAGGAATTGTGAGGCTAAACACTGCGTGCGTTATTGGGTGTAATTGGGGTTTGGAAAATACTAAGAGTGTTTGAGTGACTCGAGTGACTCAAGTGTGGTTGTAATCTCCGTTGTATCGCTTGTTATATAGTGAAATTTTGTGCTACTCTCCCCGTAGACGTAGGTCACTACGACCGAACCACGTAAATCTGGTGTCCGATTTATTTTCTTGTTCTGGCAAATTTATTGTTCGATCGCTTGACTTCCGCAACAGTTGTATTGGTGGAGCATCTTAAGCACAACAAGAAGGAGCAGGTGATCAATTGGAAGGGCCATAAAGGCAACACGGCCTTGCATCTCGTTGCCACCGGCAAAAATTTCGAGGCAAGTCCCGTCGTTCCTTTATTTTATTGCACTTTTCGTTGTGCATTATTTTAATGAGTCTGTTAATTTGGTGTCCCTAGTGATAAATGTAAAGCGAAAAATAAAGTTGTGGAATTTTCTGTATATTCGATTGAACTATACATGAGCCTATTTATAGGCTTTACAGAATGGCTATTTATAGTAATATAATATTACAATAGAAATTATAATTAATTAGAATAATGAGATTATGATATGAGAAATACTCAGAATTAGACAATATATTTCTAACATCCCCCCTACGGTCTCCAGCCTAGTCAATATCAGAGTAAGCCATCAACTGTAAGGTAGAATGAGCAGAAAAGTGAAGACTGTGAAATAAGGTGCCCTTGACATAGCGAAGAATGCGAAGAACAGCAGCAAAATGAGTGGTTCGCGATGCGGTCATGAACTGACTAATAATGTGAACGGCGTAGGCTGTATTAGGACGAGTCATAGTAAGGTATACAAGACTGCCAACTAACTATTGATAGAGAGTAGGATTCGAAAGAAGAGTCACATCTTTATCATTAAATTTGGCATTAGTCTCGATGGGAGTCGTAGCAGTCTTGCTATCAGTGAGTCCCTCTTGAGAAAGAAGATTAGTGGCATATTTAACTTGAGAAAGATAATAGCCAGAGGAATTTGAAGTAACCTCCAAGCCTAGAAAATAACTGAGTTTGTTGAGATCTTTCATTTCAAACTATTAACTGAGATACTGCTAGAGTTTTGTCATCGCAAGTGATAACCATATCATCCACATATAAAAGTAGTAAAATATACCCATGAGA